AGTACTACAAGTACTACTAGTACTACTAGTACTACTAGTACTACTAGTACTACTAGTACTACTACTGCTACTAGTACTAGTTTGATTTGCTTCGATTTGATGCGTGTGATCTGCTGCAGGCCAATGGTATTGACAGATTGAAGGCGAAAGAGGTGCGCCTTCAGCATCCTAAAGATACACATGCAAAATACTAGTACTACTAGTACTACTAGTACTACTAGTACTACTACTGCTACTAGTACTACTAGTACTACTAGTACTACCTACTACTACTACTACTCCTCCTACTACTCCTACTACTCCCACTACTCCTACTACTCCTCCTACTCCTCCTACTACTACTACTACTACTATTTGGTATGCGTTCCATTGGTTGTTCAAGCACGCACTTGCTACTCAAGCTGCTTCTGATCTACGGCTCTGTCTTCTCTCAGGCTTCCACCTTGCGTGCACGTCAACCTCCCTTGGGGCAATCTTTCTCCCCTGTCTCCTTCCATGCAGCAGTCTGCTGTCAAGCCAGAGGCTCATACATAGTACCTGCCGCTACTTTGCTGGGGGCGGTACTAATTTGGTATACGGTCAATAGGTTGTTACAGCAAACCTTGCTACACAAGCCGCTTCCGTTTTACGGCTTTGTCTTTGTCTTCCTTTCTTATTCTTCCTATTCTTCTTATTCTTCCTATTCTTCCTATTCTTCTTCTTCTCCTTCTTTTCTCTTCTGCTCTCTCGCAGGCTTCCACCTAGAATGCACAAAAAACTCCCTTGGGGCCACCTTTCTATGGCCGGCGGGCTTGCCGAAGGCAATTAAACACCCTTCAAACATGTGCCATAAGTGCTCTATGAATGGTAAACCCTTTATGCAAGTCTGCTTGCCTGATAGCAGTTGCTGCACCGGCAGGTGGAGTGTACTTTAACTTGGCCGTTTCGTCGCCAGCATCAGTTCGTCTTTGTCGGTCTCTTCGGCATTCCTGTGCTCAAAATAATGCCAGAGAGTGCTGTCTGGTCACTGGTTTTCACCGTGATGTCTATCAAGTCAACTGACACACCTGCCTCCGTCAATTTTACAAAGATCTCAGGAGAATCCACATCGTCCATGTTCGATGTCAACACTGCCGGCTCTCCGCTCACAATAACTGTGTCCTCACCGGTTTGAAGTTTTAGCAAGGAAGAACAAAATAAATCAACGTCTTCACAACTTGAAGCAGCACTTGAGCACTTGGCAGTAGCAGGGCTCCTTGACCAGGTCCAAGAGCTCACCGACAGTTTTGAAATTAAACACCTGCGGAATGGCACCCATATCCTACCGTGTGGTTTCCTTAACGTTTTCAGGCAATGTTCATTCTTTATCCACTGGCAGTTGTGTGCGGTGGACCTAGTTAGATTCGATACTGCATTCAACTATCAGTTAAAGTGGGTTCAATGCTGCGAACGCAATGATTTTGCATTTGCATGGTTTCTTCTTGACCAGTTTGGGAGGCACCTGCGGATTCAGAGTGCGTTTGAAGTACTTGGAGAAGTAGAAGGCAATGTGAACTTCTGGGATGTCAGTTCGGTCTGGATCATCAACATCCTCAAAGATCTCAAAGCACACTGCACAATCACAACGCAATCCTTGCACGCCTGTTACACTGGCCATACATCCGTCCTTCTTGAAGGACTCCTGCAGCAAATAGGACTCGTAGCGTAGCTGCAGCAAAGCCCAGTCCTGGAAATTAAAACAGGCTGGTCAATTGTGCCTTAAAGTTGTATGACTTACCTGCACACTGGCAAAATGCGATCCGCGGCTACTTCTGGTTTTTCTGTGTTGAATCTCTCCGGCTTAGGCTTGTCCACAAACGAGCTAGATTCCAAGCAGGTTCAGCACACTATTGCTTGCCTCTGGTGCAAAGTTTGCGTACAAGGGTTCTCCATCACCCATGTCATCCACATCCTGCCCGAGCAGGCTCGAAGGATCATGCTTGCAGGCAAGCCCAGTGAAGTGGAGATGAAATTGGTTTAGACTCGGTTTATCAGTCTGGATTCGTCTTCTGTCTTGCCCAATTGGTCGAATCTTCTTTGCCCTCTGAAACCAACACATCACATACATTGATCCAAGGCTTTGGAAAAAATGTCGGATGAGGAAAGCGCCCGAAAAGAAAACCAAATTCTAACAGTTCTGTTCCAACATATTCAAACAATGAACTTGGAGGCATGGTCGTGACCTGAAACCTGGAAATTCTGGAAGTAGCAGACTGCATCCCAGTCCTCTATGGAGAATATATCAACCTGGAGACGAACATCCACATTGATGGAAGGCGACTAGGGGCCACAGAGGCCACAAGAGGCCACAAGTGGCCACGACTGCCTACAAGCGCATGGGCTGCACAGGCAACCGGCGCCTTTGTTTCTGCCTCCTCAACGTCTTTTTTCTCCTTCTTGGTCGGATTGGTCTTGAAGCTCTTTTGCTTTGCCTGGACAACAAACCGAATATCCGACTGTGCGACTCCATCGAGTCATCAAAACTGTTTTACAGGCAGCACAGCCCACAAAGTACACAATGTTAAGCATTTATTTCTTGAGCCATGCACATGCAAGTAAAAGGGTAAAGTTATGTACAGCCGGTGATACGTAGTAAAAACATCCCCCGCCGGCCGCAGATGCTGCGGAGGACGGAAGGCAAAGAAGTCCATTCGTCGAATGACCTGAGCGCGAGATGGACAATTCTATCACTGGCATGTACCCTATTGAGCGTGCTAAATCTCAGCTCGGATGCATGAGGCAAGTTCCGGATGCAAAATATTTTTCAACCCAGGCATCGCACATGTTTGAAAGACGCAAAAGCGAAGTCGGCCTGGCTTCCGCCAAGGCATAGGAGCTCTACCACTCCTTTCATTGATTCATTGCCATGGAAACTGGAAGCTACTATATCAGATTGAACCACACGGCATCTGTACACAGGCAAATGAAAAAGTCTGGATCGGGTGATTGCCAAACCAAGTTGGATCAATTGAGAAATATTTCAAGGCTTTTTCTTGTCAAGTGAAGTTCACTTTCAATGCGGTTGCAATGGTTTGACCATGGGTCCTTTCCATCCAATCGGCCACACCTTCCGGCAGGCATAAAGTTTGAAATGGTGTGAGACACGCTTTCACCAAGACTCAAACTCCACGGTGCCGTCAGCGAAGGTGCGCTTGTAGTGAGGGATCCCGTTGATTTCACAATATTCCTCGCTCACAATCGGGGCGATGGGGGGCTGTTGTGACACTTCGGTCACCACCGGGTCGGCAGAGGCAGCAGTGTCCCCAGCGGAAGCAGCAGCCCTTGGAGGATTGGCAGGCTCCAGCGGCGCAGCTGATGAGCTTGCGGGTTCAGATCGTCCCCAATCATCACTCCAGCCACGTCCTTGGTGACCTGAGTTCCATTCTTGGAAGATCGGGCGCTGGTGCTTGCCCTTTCCTCTGCCCTTCTCCGGTCTGGTGACAGGATCGAAGTCTCTCCTCAGGCCCTCCCTTCCCTCCGTTGTGCCTGACTTGAAAGTCCTGGCAAGTGGGAACTCGGCCACATCTGGTGCCGTCGCAGTAGCCTCAAAGATATTGTTCACCTTTGAAGTTCTCATACTGCTCGTCCCACTGCCGTTTCGCGAAGTCGACGAGGTCGAAAAAGCAATCCTGAGCCGTTGCCTGATCAATCGGAAGGATAGACCCAGCCCATCCATATAGCATCGGCGAGGGTTCCGGCTTCGCTTTCAGAATCTCCGTAGCCAGCACCGCAAATTGAGGAAGGGAGAATTAAGTCTAGCATGATGAGCGACCATTGCCTCTTTCGTGACATCAAGTGGTTTTCGAATGTCACGTGCATCATCAGGCATGAAGATGAGTTAGGAACTGACAGCAGTCCGGGGTGATCTGGGCTGTCGCATTATTGAAGAGGTAATATGGGTCTCGTTCCATTCGGTCTTGAATCGAGGTGTAGCCCATCTTCCCATAGCGACTTGCATGGGTCTGTGCGGCATCTTTGAGATTCCCAAAATTACTTCTTCCAGCCCGTCATTGGTCAGCTCGGGCTCGGGTACGATTTTGAAACCCGTTGACTTCTTGGTTGCTTCTCGAAGTCGACCTTATCCAGGGCGAACACTCCACTGGTCTTCTCGGCCACGATTTCCATCCGGCATACCTCAGTTGCAATCCGGCCAGCCATTTGGAGCAGCTCTGGCACTTGTGGGTCCCCTCAGTGTTGTTCGCCTGGCAAAAGTGGCATTTGACTTGCTGCATTTCAATCTTATTGTTGAAAATGTAGTCTTCAGCATTTGTTGATCCAGCGGCCGATCCTCCCGGATGGCGTCCAGTCCCTTGCCTTTGCCTCGACCCTTTCCCTTGCGGATGGCCTCAGCGTTTGACAAAGCTCTGCAGTACGCCGTTTTGAGGGTCACCTGGTCACTGAAGGGTCCCTGTTGTCCTTCACGTTTTCGGGTCAAAAGTGCCAAATCCTCAGGCTTTGTGGTCATCTTCAACTCGCCTTCCCTGGTGATCTTGCCGTCCTCCACAAACTTCCTTCTTGAGGTGAGCTCTGGCCTTTGCGTAGGTGCTCTGTGCGAGTGCCTCTCCCTTCGGTGTGGCCGACTCCTTGTGCTTCTTCATAAGCGCATTGTACCCGTTTCTTGTGGGCTCGTAGGATCGGTTGATCCAGGCGAATTCCGTGTTCACGGCGTCATATGCACAGATGATGCACCCGTTGCTGATCCAGTTTGGATTGAGAATGGCTTCGTCGGTCCTGAAAAAAGACGGCAACCGCTCTGCACCACGAGCTCTGCATCAAATGCAAGAAAGAACGGCGTTCCGGCTCGCGTTCCTGCGAGCTTCTTGCTTCCAACGTCCCAGGGATGGGATGCGATGAAGTAGTTGGGTGCATGCACAGTTCGGGTCGGCCATCCTCCTGGGATAAGCCCGTGTTCCACAATCTTTTCCATAGCCACTTGGTCGCAAGAATGGTAGATCACTCCGGGCAATTCTTTCATGAGCTCAGGAACCAGATCTGGTCGAAGGTTGGTTCTCGGAATCTTCACAGTGTCCAGCCCGTGGCCTTGAAAGGCTGGGTCCAGCGTGAACACCTGCTTCACGAGATTCGACATCCTGGCGTTCTCCATGACCTCTTTGTTGTGACCTTGCACAGCTCGGATGGCAATCACCTTCCACGGCAGACCCTTCCAGGTTGCTTCAGGTGCATCGGGTTTCGTGACCTTGATCGGAAACCTGCGAGGTGCACAACAACGGAGAGTATACCTCTTTGATCTTGAGACTCCACACGTACTTAAGCCCAACACTCGCATGGCGTCTTCGAAAATCTATGCGCAGCACCAAGGGGTCTAAGGCATGTCCTCCCAACAGGTAAGACAACTTCGTGCTGATGAAGCGGCAACGGCCCTGCCCGCAGTACTCCTTTGGGATGCGGGCGCCCATGTCCTCAGGATCCAGCCAGACGGCCTGCTCCTTTCTCTCAGTCGCCTCCGTCTCGGCATTCAAGCGCGGGGCTTTCTGCCGTAGCGTGCCTTTGTTTCGGGGGCCTTCTCCTTCTCAGGCTCTGGAATCTTCTTCACGGCCGGCCTTCCGACTGGCTTGTCCACCTCAACCATGTCAACGTCAACAACCTCAGTCTTGGCGGTGGCAGGTTGTCCCAATGTAGAAGGTCCATCAAAACCAATCGAATCAGCCGGCTCACCCTTCCGAGTGGCATCTTCTTGTCACCGTCGACGTCCATGGGCACAACTTCAGCAGAGCCAATCAATGTCCATTGAGCTAATCCCGGACTTCTTCATCAGGCTTCATGGGCACGACCTCAGCAGAGCCAACCATGTCCACAGAGCTGATCCCGGACTTGGCCGTCGTTCCCCAAGGCTTGGGGTCATCTGAGGTGAGGGCAATGATCTTGTTGAGATTTTCCACTTCTTTTTTTCTCTCTTCAGAAATATGACATCTTCCTTCGTCTGCTTTTGATGGGGATCGACGACGACTTCACTGTTCTCGCCAAAATCTCCATGTCGTCACCCACAGTGCTGGCACTGTCGCCCTCCAGAGTGAATGACACGTCCGTGGTAATGGAAAAATCCATCCACAGCCGCTTGGTTGAATTCTTCCTGGAGATACAGTCGGGCCCGTTGCTCCTCCGTTTCAGATTCAGCGTCTTCCACACTTGGGTCCACTGGCATGATGAAGGCCATTTCCTTGTCAGTGAAATCAGTGGGCTTCGGCCGACCCTCCCGAGCAGCTTCTTCCTCACTGAGCCCCCCGGATTCCCACGTGCAGCCATACGAGGATCTCCTCGTCAGCCTTGTCGAATTCCTGCGCTGGAGTGGCAGTCTTCTCCTCAGGCTTCAGGGCACACATCACTTCCTGGGTTCTCGAAAGAGCCAATCGAAATTGGACGATGGTGGGTAACAATCGGACGACCGCCAGGCGATCTTGGTCGTTCTTGATAAAGCTGGTCGCATAGTCACGGAGCTCTTCCTTCTTGCTCTTGATCTCAACGTACTTCATGTGCAGAGTGATCGCTCCTCTCAAGAACCTGTAGACCAATTTCCGGTTGTGATGGTCATGGAGGTGGTAATTGTCGTACTTCCCCCTGGCGCAAGCATTGTTGAGCAAACACCCTGAATGCCCTTCTTGGCTAACCAATTGAAATACTTTCCCATCTCTCTGTTGTATGACGGGGGAAATGAGTAGCCCGAATGGTCACCGTTCCCGATGACTTGCACTGACAACACATGGGGGTGCTGGTGGATTTCGACTAAGCCGTCAAGAGCTCGAAGGACCTTCTGGTACTGCTTGTCGACATAATCGGCAGCGACCTTCCGGTCGGCGTCGGACCTGTTCATATTCGATGAATGAATCCAGGTGCAGCCCTGATAGCCGTAGTCTCCGTGGACATCATTTCCTGCCCGGCCCACAACAACAAGAATTGGTAAGGTAGGGAGGTGATTTTCACGTTCCACCTTTTCGACCAATTCCCAGTGTTGATGGCCGACAGCCCTTTGCCCCACTTGAGTCCAGGGTACACGGAGCGAATCTGCTTCAAAGCGTCGTCTTTCGATTGCACAAGCTCCCCAAAAGACAATCTGGAGCACGTGGAGGGATTGTCGTGATTGGCAAGCAAATGACGAGTCCCCAACGATGATAATTAAGATCGGCCTCACCTTCCGGTGGGCATTCGACAGAGCCAAACAACGTGGCCGGAATGTCACCCACGACACCCACAAAGTCCTGGTAGGTCTTGTGCGTCTTGTGCTCGTCGGAGCTCACCAAGGCATCGATCACATCGCCAACGGGAACCTGGCCAGACGCGTCTTGTTGGCCCCCTCATATCCGTCTGGGAAGACGCATGCCACGCAGCTGCCACGCACCTCAGCCAACCGCTTCTCCCAAGCTTGGATTCGCTGGTAGATGGTCAAAGGCGTGTTCAGTCCCTGGCCGTCCTTCCA